TGGTCTTGAGGTATAATACATTACAACAGTTGTCGCTACCTATTCCACTTCTACTAATTGGGTGTATAATGAAGACAATGATGTAAAAGCTCTTTTTAGTCTTCTATCTCGCAGGGAAAAACTCACTGAACTTCAATTAGATTTTCAAGGCCATAATCACGAACAAACCATTATTGCAATAGATAATTTCACCATATTCCAGGATCATGTTCTACCAACGATTACTAATATGCTACAGTCAAATGAATGTATTGAGGTACTAAGCTTAAATGTACATTTTTTGGTTCACCAAGGCATAAAAGTGAAAGTAGATGGGGAAAATTCTTTGATGCTATCCTTAACCATCCTTCACTTCAACATGTTGGTATGAAGTTAAATTTTCAGAGTAAGAAGTTAAAGGACTTCCTCAAAGGGCAGATAGAGGTAAAGGAACTTAAGGAAACACCAGTAATAATTTGTGAAGCTAGTTTACTTTAATATTTTTACTTTTATTAAACTTTTTTGTTGCTGCTTTATACTCAGGCTTATTTTTGTAATGCAAGTTAGATAATACAAGTGTATTATAATTGCACAAAATTATAATGCAAGATTTTTTACCAGTGTGGTAGTCAAGCAGCTTATATAATTATATAACAATAGTAATGCACATTTATCAATCCAGATTTTTATTTTTGGGAGCAAGCTATAGTATGTATCAATTTATAAACTGATTTCTGAAAATAAGACTGAGAAAAAAAACTGCATGTATGCATATTTTGAACTGAAAAATAATTATAAAGGCCCCTATACACCAGGCAATGCTATTGCAGGCAATCTGTGGTTACTTTGATCTTCAGGCAACACTGTTGCCTAGAATAGAAACCTGTTCTATTCTAGGCAACACATTGCTTGCAACATCAAAGTAACCACAGATTGCCTGCAATAGAATTGCCTGGTGTATAGTGGCCTTAAAGATACTGTGGTACAACCAGTATGCAAGATTTAGCCTACCCTTATTTCTAAGGAATACACTTACATGTACTTCTCAATCATGAAACATTTTAATACTCATAAGAAGTTAAGAATATACAAAGTATAAACTGAAGTACAAGATACCACAACACAGGCTGTATATCTTAATGGTGACATTACAAATTAATGTTAAATTAAAATCAATTATTATAAAATAAATTACAGTTCATTTTTTATCTGTTTTGCTTTGTCTTCTACCGCCAATCTTCCCTATAATAATTAATAAACTTTACCGTCCAAAAAGTGCAATAATGCACACAAGCTATTATTACATATTAAGCTCTTAAAATCTAGTGCTCAGTAGAGCTGGGTTCAGCTTGTAACTGAATAGCAAATAATAGCACAACAACAAATGAAAGATTCTTTTAACACAGTATATCCAGTCACAAAAAATATTCTGAACCAAGTAGGCCATATGCATAAAGACGAGCCTTTGATATAACAGACTCATAAGAATTGAGTATCATAGTTTCTAATAATCCTCCTAGCAATGGAACACCATGAACACTCATTACAGTATGCTGATGCAGTATAGTCCTAACAATAACAAATAATTATTAGTATTATACCAGCATTGGCTTACTTTGATGGATCCTCTGGATGTACTTTGTATTGCAGGACTTCACTCATTTTAAATAAACTTCTTAATGAGACCTACCAAATGAAAGAACCAGTGAACAGATTACATAAAGTAACAATACATAATAACAAGAGTAGACAATAATATTAGTCACGGTAATATACATTTTTACTTGTATTAAGACTAAACAGCAAATACATTAAAGTTGAAGGAGCAAAATGAGACATTTTAAAATAAAAGAATACCGTAGTGGTAAAATTTTAGAGGGACTTAAATTTGGCTAATTGCTACATTTTGGTGATTGGTGAATTTTAATTTGGCAAATTAGTGGCCACGTGCCATTGAACATGCGCATAATGGCTCAAAATGGCAGATTTTATTTGGCAAATGGCTATCAAAATGCAAAAATTTGCCAAATTTAATTCCCTCCAAAACTTCTTGCTTTATGGTAATAAAGATTATCTAACAAAACTACTAACATTAACAGCAGAGATGGTAAGTGTCTTGCTAAGAGTGTCACACTCAGACATTTCATGAAT